TTTTTTACAACATGAGACTAGAGTATTACAGTCTACAGTCTATGAGAGAAGAGACCATGGAAATGACATGATGGTGCAGTTTGTTTTCCTTCCAAGAAAATTTTGCGGGAAATGGCAGATGAAAAACAAACATACAACAATTTTCCACCATCTATGCTCTTAAAGACCATAGAAATGTTATCAAAATGTTAAAAATCATAATTCTTAAAGACAAAAAGAAATTTTTGTCTATTTCTTAGATGCCTGTTTTGATGAAAATTGAACAGTTAAGTGTGTTAACTATGCCAGGATGTTCATTAGGTATCAGAGACTGGAGAATTCTGTTTACTATGCAGAATTCTCTGGCTAATGTTTGGTAGCTAATGATTATTTTTATTCAGATGTGGAGCCTCTTTCAAAGTAGTCTCTTGTAATGTTACACCATTAATGAAAACCCTGCTATGCTATTCTGTCTTTTCCTACCCCTTGACATTTAACTTGTATTGGGGCTAAATTTCTTATTAGCCAGTGAGTAAAATGCAAGTTTCAAGTACCACAATCTCTCTATAAGGCCCCCTCTTAATAGCCCGCATTCTATATATTAACATTCTAACATGACTCCTAGGCTTTCTGGCCATTGGTTTGGTTTTCTTTGTGCTCAAGTCTCTTCCCCCCTCTCTAATCAACCCTACTCCTAACTGTCACAATGAAAATGACTACTAATAATAAAGTCGAAGCTCTCATAAGCGACCACCTTGGAAACTCAAAAAAGGGTCATAACTTAGTCTGAGCTGGATGCTTATAAGAATGAGCTCTCGTAAACAACCGCATGGCGAGAAAATAGAGGCCAGTCGCTTACGAAAGCTTCACAAACTCATTAGTAACTCATAAAGAGAAAACAAAAGAAATTAATGTTAAATGTTTGTCTTAAAAAATCTGATATGGACAAGGCTTAACTTAAAGTCCAGTTTTTAGACCAATATAGACCCCAAGATCTTTATCAACAAACCAGTAGAGAAGTGTGCAGTATCAGTTAAGTGTTGATTGAGTTGAATAGGACTCTGAGTGGTCGCTTACGAGAGCTTAAAAACAAAGGAAAAGTCCAGCTGGGTAATTCCAAAAGTTGCTTATGAAAGCTTTTCATTACAAGGTTTTAGTCACAGTTCAGACAGCATTTCACAAAAACGAAAAACAGAGTCTACCATCAACTTAAGTCCGTATTAAGAATATTTGGGGAGAGGCTTGAAATCTCGTACTCGTATTTTCGAAAGCTAAACATTGGAGGTTTACTGAAGTAATCAAGGTTTACTTGAGAAACTCTCGTTTATCGTTGATTGTAGTGATTCTTGTTCATCAGGCTGCAGGTAATCTGGTGTGATTTCTAAAGCAAGAGGAGAAAAGTACACATCAGTATAAATTGATCGGTACCAACTCATGTAGGTGGAAATGTTCTAGTTAATGGTCGATCATTCTACGACTGTGTTTCTGATGGCGGAGGCACCACTGGACGAGGTAAGTTTTAAAGTTAGCTTCTTATACTGGTTGAGTTTATTACTGAAGGAAAGTTTAAGGTAATAATATTTTTTACTCACCAGAGAAATTATTTATTGACTGGCTGATGTTGCTAGGGGGCGGATACTCTGGAAAAAGATCTGCAAAGCAAAAATATAAGCGCAATTTTTATCGTAAACTCGTTAAGGAAAAAGCCGTTCAAGATAAGACTTGGCCTAGAAAGGTTAAGTTCTCGTTTCAGAATAAAATTATTTCAGGGACAAACAGTGGACTTAAAATTTCCTTACCTTGTGCTCTCAGCAGCGGGAACCTGGTCACTTGGGTTCGATGCCGCAAGAGAACATGCAACGCACAACCAATCTGTTCTTCCTCTGATTACTGCCAAGCGGCTTGGTCGATACCAGTCCCGCAGATACGATGCTGCCAAAAGCCGCAATCGTCGCACTGAAGGGCTTGCTGGCGTGGTCGAACCTCATTTCCGCTCTCGATACAGGGATAAAGGCTCATTGTATAATTCTTTTGCGTACGCGTAACGATCTCTTGTTTCAGCAAGAGGTTGCTATTATTAATTTACCCTCTTTATATATGGTTAACCGGATCAAAATTTATGCGACCGGCTGAAGAAACAAGGAATAACTGAACAAGTCGCGATAATTTATGCCGCGTCTGATCCTAAGGGGAATGATGCTAACACGCTTTGTTCGAGTGGTTAACAATAAACAACAAAAACCGCTGTAAAAGTTTCAGGTTGTTTTTTACACGATAAATCAAACTAAGAGAACTTGATGTATTTTTCTAGTATGTGTGAAAAATTCTGATATCTGAAAGTGTTTCGCTTATAATTACTAGAATCTGTACTGTACAATGAGCGGCTTAGTTCATAGCAACGAACAACGAACAACGCTGAAATGAACAGCGATATTGGAGTCTTTGTTTAACTTCATATTTGCATAGGTTAGCGAGTCAACATTTTATGAGTTTATTCCTTGCGATTTACTTGAGATGTTACTTTTCTTCAAGTTTATACACTCGATAAAATTGCGGGCGACATGACATAGGGTTTCGGGCGACATGACTATGTATTTCGGGCAACATGACTCTGGTTCCGGGCGATATGACTTCGGGCGAAACGACTTTCGGGCGACTTGACCGGTTACCCATGAGCCACCAGTTGGTGTTGCATTGAGGGACCTCATGAGTCTTCCTGATCTGGCTCCCCTCCAGACTGGTTCTGGTGAAACAGCAGTGTCTTCATGTTGTCGCCCATCTGAAGTTCCTGCCTCTTCTTCTTCATCATTTTCCCTATCAGTTTCATCTCCCGGCGTCACCAGCTTTGATCGATGAAGGGGAGGAATAAGTGGCGTACGTTGGACACCTGAGTTATATTGAATAGCAACACAAATCTCAGTGCGGCCTTTGTTATCTGCAACACAATCACCACAATTCACTTGCCAATTTTACCCCACAAACGAAAGGCGCCGAGCTCGATAAACACTTCCAAATATTCAACCACAGTTAACCACAGCAAAACGCGGTGTTTTGGGGAACTCTGACCCCACCTTGACAACAATCTTTCCTATCATGCAAAATGCCATCGTTTAAAAGTGTCAGAAGTTGCGATGAAGAAAACACGAGTTCGGCGAGAGCTTCCAAAGCACCAAATCTACCGAGAAGTATTGTACGATAACGCATGTAAAATAGATTCGACCTTGGAAGCAGTATCCGGATTATGTAGAACAAATTCACGATACTTTGTTGAAAGAAGGTTTACGTGATTTGTCCCAAACGCTACCAATTCTTGCGATGTTTGGAGTAGATTCGAGAGGAAACGTCCTTCCGGCATTTTAGTTACGATTTTGATCATTTTTTTGCGCATCACTAAATATTCGGGCTTTTCACGAGTCTGTTTTGGCAATTTTTTGTTTTGGCAGGGGTGGGGTTTGAAGTATGAGTAATTAAGGGTGGTTCCTATTTATACTAGTAATAGTTGACACTACAGCTGCCCCCGTTCTGTATATTGTCGGTCAATAGTATTCTTGGTCGTTGTGTGGCTCTTTGAAAATATACCGATTCATAATGAAGATTTTTACACATATTCCATACAATAGGTGAGATAAATACAGGAAACACAAGGTTCCATGCACAGTTTCAGCTCGATTTACACAGCTTTGATCAAAACATTCTCAGTTTCGAGGATAGTTTATTCTAAACCCGATAAGAAAAGTTTTATAGAAGTTGAATTTTTCGCTATTTCTCTTTCACTTTTTACATTCAGTTCATTTTATTTCAGTTTCATCCATTCACTCTCGCACATTCTAGTCTTGTTTGAAACTTTATAACGCAAGGACATCTGTGAGCAGGGAATAAGTCAGTACAGAATTTGATTGTTGGGGAATTTCTGTAATCGTGCTAGTGATAAACTAGCTGTTGTTCACTCGTCTTGCTTGTTTGGGGCTGAGTCTTATTCCGGTCAAAGAGAGAGAAAGAGTGTCTGGCAAGCTTTCCAATATAAATCAAAGATTTGTGTACTCGTGTCTGACTCTCCAAGTGTTTATATATACACAGTTAAACGCACCTTATAACCTCATCTGCGCTTAACGAGTGTCTTTTGGTGCATAACTTTCAAAATAAGAATTACTTCGTGAATTTTACCGGGGCCACTTTTGTGTTGGCAACCCACGTGGAAGGGTCGTTTTCATCAACAAGTTTGTCGGGCGACATGAAAATCTTTTTTATTGCAAATATTCTTTAGAGATGAAAACAAGGTGTAATGAATAATGTGAAAAGAGAAAATGTTAGGGAATCCCCAATTTTGAACAGTTGAGAGTTTTCGCATGTCGCTAACGTGATACAGATCTAAAGAAACAATCACCTGCACCGCCAACATCTATTGATTGTAAACCAAGTTCACCTAATCTTGACTTCATCAAATTCTCAGAAGAAATAGGAGAGATCAACCGCATTGTTGAGCTGTGATTTTGCATAAAAGGTCTAATTATTACTTCATGATGATCAGTGTTGTATTGATTAGGTCCTGGATTCTTCTCAACATCTTTACTTAGTTTGAAATTCACATAATTGGTCATATGACTCACACAATTGCAAGAAAACAATGATAAATATTGACGTGCTTTACATTTTAGTTTCATTATCCTGTGATACTGCCTGCTAGTATAGAAAGACAACAAATAAACTTTCTTGGCTATAGCCATTTTATTGAAGTTAATTATCTTTGGAGCCCGTTTGTTATTACATTTATATCGTGCATGATAAAGTTTCCTCACCTTATTAACATAGCGATGGAGCTTTGAAGACTTCAGTATGTAAATCGTTGAAATCTTTTTGAAGACAAATTTCTTCAACATGCTATTCTTGTTAATTGAGACCTCTTAGAAATAGTAGTCGAATTCTGCTCGGTTCACGAGCACGTGTAGATCGCCTTGTAGCACGTTTTTTAAGATGATATAAAGCTAGCTTTGATAAGTGTTCGCATTGATTCTCGATAAATTTCATGATGGAAGGTTCACTCAATATAGATAACTTTGATAAGTCGCTTATTTTCTCGATGGAAGGTTCACTCTTAAGCGATCGCTCGTAAATTTTTCTCTCCAAATATTCACTCTCAAGTTTTCGCTCATAAACTAGTACATCATAAAGGTTGGGGAACGTGTCGTTCCCAAAAAGCTATAATCTTTCTCTTGACTCTCCTCCATACCTCGTGCTTCTCAAAATGGCAGATAAGATTTCAATGAACCAGCGATATATCTCAGCGAACTCTCCCAAAAGTAACGAGCCAGCGATATATCTCAGTCAGCGATATATCCCTAACAATGTAACTTTGAAAAGACAGAAACGCGTTGCATTTTATGACCAGTGCCAGCCTTCGGCTAGGCCCCGGCAACAACAACTGCTCCACAGAATGTCACTGCGTAACGCAAAAGGGTAACACTATCGAAGTATGACGGCACAATAAATAGCACAAAATCTACCTGAGCGGTCCCTTTGGCATTTTCTGTCTTTACGCCATCCTAACCATTTCGTACTTGTGGCGCAAACAATAGAAACGTCATCATTACCTACCGATTCCTCGCGGCCCCTGTTCAAGCAAATCGAGATTTTTTTTATATTGACTGTATGACTGTATATTTCAACTGTAAGTACTTTCCTTAAGAGTGGCTGTCAGAGAAAACCGGGCAAAATGTTAAAAATGTCAACGGAAGGGGGTCAACAGAATAAGTTCATACTAACACCACAGATAGGTCTGGTGGAGTAATGGACAAATATAATAAACATAGGTTCTTCACTGCTCTTGTATTAGAGATACGAGCATCACTTTATTCGACTCCCTCGGACGCCATTTTTATAAGCAAATTTTCACCATTTTCTGAAACTCACAGAACCCTCAAAATTTAACGAGCGAAGTTTATTTTTTGCATGCGATACAATACATCACAGAACTACTTTCTAAAACCATAAGATTTGTTAAGCAGCCACGGACAAGACTAAAATTTTCTTATTTTATCTGACCTAAACTCAGTGTCTGCAAACGAGCAAAAAATCGAGCATTTTTGAATTGATCTACAGCGCACAACTAAAACGACAGAACAACTCTGACAGCCAAATTGCAGTCTACTATCATCCATGTAACCAAAACACTAATAATCATTTTGGGCCATTGAAACAGGAAGAAATTAGAAAACTCACATTTGTTATAGTTTCCAAGCTTTTTCTTGCAAACAGGCCGATCCCTTCGTGTTTGTTTTAAGTCCTCTTCGTGAATTTTCCTCCATATTTCGCTGTAAAGTATGTTGAGCAGCTGGAGGAAATATCAAAAAGCTCGAAATACTGCCTAGGTTACTTGTTCAAAGGGTAAAAAGTGCTGAACGATAGGATGAAACTAGAAAATAACAAAGCGACGCCATCTTGAAAATTCAGCACTCAGGAGGGACTGGCACTAGTAGCTGCATTCGATATCTAACAAAAATTGCAAATTTTACACGAGCACATAGAAAACTAGCCTCCCCACAGACAGAAATAAATGCGTGACAAACGAACCCCAAAGGACGTCTGCGGGGAGGCTAATAGAAAACCAAACCTAATATAGAAATGTAACCAGAAAGCGTCGAATTCATGTTAGAATTTTTCTTTATCGAACGTGGGCTATTACGAACTATTACCAGGAGCCTATGGGCTCCTGATTACCAGTTAGATAAAAAACAAAAAACAAACAAACCAGCTTATCAGCGACCTACTCCAGTCTTATTCCTTCTTCGATTACTTCTTTTAGTTGAATTTAGCTTTAGAAGAACGCCTGATCGCAGGTTAATTGGTGATTAACTGGCATTGCTTCATTCCCTCCTCATTTAGAGGTGTCCCGTGAATGTAGGTAATATTCAAGATCTATTTTGTCCCTTTATGAATCACTTAACTTCGCTCTCATGCGAGCTAGCTAGACTTGCTATGTATTAACCTCGCGAGTTTCGAAGCGTGCGGGCTAACCGCGGGCAGTGGATATTGCTTGCTGTAAAATTTGTAATAATTTTTATTACCAACTGTTTATTAAAATAAACATAGTACATACAGTTGAATCAGTTCTGCGGAGAGGGCATTTTAGGCCAAGAGAGCCAGTGGACGAAGTACTTTTTTGAAAGTAAGCCTTCTAACTGATGATCCCATCACTGTCACTTCGCATTTCCATAAGGCAATAGACCTTCGAATGTTGACAAGAGCTGTCAAAATAAACTATTCCTAGCGTTTACCAGAATAGAATCTGGTATACCGGAAGGATCCCAAAGGAGCTTTTGTTAAAAAGTACCATTAAAGGAGTTTTTACGACTCTCACTCCGCACCCCTTCCCCTCATTGTTTTTCCTGCTCACTTCTTTTTCAGAATGTTCTTTGCACAGTCCACACAAGATAAACGCCACGTGTAGAGGGAACGCGCAAATTCTCTTCCAGATTGCGGTACTGTTTGCAGCTCAAAAACTTCACGGTTCCGCCGGTCGCATGTAAAGAAAAGGTGGATCCGTGCAAGTCTTTGGCCGTTCAAAAATTTGCAAAAGGGGTCTGAGTGTTAACTCGAGTTGGAACTTTTTCCATCACCGCTGATATTGATCATTGATAGAAGTCGTACACCAGGACGTTTACAGCCACTACGTTCCTTTTAGTTTACTGGTGTAGCTGTGAAAGAATTGACATCTCCTGCATCTCTTCGTCACTGGATTTGTCAAAAACACTCTCACTACGTTGTTTAACATAAGCAGTCCTTACATTTAGAGAAATTGTCAAGGTCTTGCCTTAAATTCAGGGGAGGCAATGATGACAGAAATGGAATTTATTCATCTCCTAGGGAGATATTTTCCAACGCCATTTCGATTGTTAATCTTTTCCACGGCGCTGTTGCAAAAAATGCGCGCGATTCAAACGAGATAGCACAAAATGTGCTAAAATTAGCAAATTTAATGGCTATGACATATATTTCAGGGGCAACCAACGACAATTTTCGGAAAATATCTATTCGGAAGACGATTTGCGATCTAGAATTTACGGAACATTTCATTGTAAAGTTCCTTGCTTGCCTGCCTCTCCTAGGATTTTCGAACATGTAAAAAATGGTATAATTGCCCATTTTTAACGGATTTTTACCCTTAAAAGGTCACCTAGAATTTTCGGAAGCCTTTTTTCTGGCTGAAATTTTCGAAAAGATAAGTTTCGATTCCTATAATTTTCGGATCACTAGACTTTCAGCTAGGAAATCCGAACAGATGAAAAATTTCTAGGGGATAAAAATATGCCTATATCTACCGTTTAAATACTAAAATACGTTTAACAATGCTATGTTTAAGTGGTTTTGAACTATCTTCTCGTTGGGTGCCCCTGATATTTCGATGAAGTCAACCCCATCCCTGGAAAAGGTATCCAGTTACGGTCTACTACCCCGATTTAGATAAATATGGCTCATGGTAGAGTATAAAAACGTAATTTTGTGCTATTTCGCAGCGTAATTAGCGTTGCTAGATAAGTCTGTCCGCCATCAGGAGCCCGTAAACCACAATTAAAACCAAAAAATGTATGAGTAAAGACTACACATCAATATTAATATTAATCTTGTAAAAATTCCAGTATGAGCCATTAAAATTGTTGAATGACCTTCTTCACCTCAGACATTCGTGTCAGTCAAGCGTGAATCGAAGTCCCTCATTTTGCCTTTTTGTTCAAAAAAACCTCTGACCTAGCAGCCCAGCTGCATCTTGCGCCCATCATCTGCCCCCAAAAGGCGAGGATCTGCCTCCTTTTTCATAGGAAATTCATAAATTGTCTACTAAAACACTGTGCAATATGGAAGCAAGGCTAATCTAAGCACTAAGAGCTGCTCAGATATCTCATAATTGGAAAAAAAAAACTAGTAAGAGAAATTGCTCAGAAATTATGCAAAAACTTGCTTGAAACGCAAAAAGTTGCTCGAAATACTAGAAGCTGCCAAAAAGTTGCCGAGCAACTTGTGGAAAGCCCTAGGGAGAAGCGGAGGGGGGGTGGGAGGCTACTCAATAAAGCATTGTTCGGAGAGGTTTCGCCCCGAGGTCCAGTCCCTTACCCTTATATATACTGTTTTTGACAAAAGGTACCCCTTTCGTGTATCTTCCATTAAAAAGTTGTACCCTTTTCATATATATGCTTCGTGAGAATAAATCGGTAAGAAAGGAGGTCTTCGGGCCATTTTCGTGTAACCTTTAACTGAATTAACATGTAAATGATATTGCCATAAGGCGTGTTTCTTCGAAGTATTTAATAAAAGGCCCTTTAAAATACTTAATGAAAGATTTTCCTCTCCTTTCACATACTTCAACTTGTGATTTCCCTACCCTTTGTTACATCTGATGCTTGAAAGAGGTACCATTCTGGCGAAGCCTTCCGGACTGTGAAAAGCGCATCATGAAATCATGAACAGGAGATGAGTGGACCTTCAGACATGGACGGTAATTGAAGGCTGACGCAAAAATAGATGATACTATAAAGATTCCAAAGAAAGACTTATACTGGATAACTCAAAAGGAAGTGAATGAAGAGTAAATGAAGACTGACTAAAGTCATGCCAGTTGGTCATCTTCACCACACCCTATCACTCCACCCAAAAAAAAAAACGACAACACAAAAAAGCTAAATTTAAGTAAAAGTAGTTATTGAAGAAGAAATAGGACTGTAGTAGGTAACTGATAAGCCGGTTTGTTTGTTTGTTTTTGTTTTTTAGCTATTTGGTAATTCATCACGTTGCGGACAAGACAGCTACTATATTCTAGTGCCAGTCCCTCCTGAGTGCTGAATTTTCAAGATGGCGTCGCTTTGTTATTTTCTAGTTTCATCCTGTTGTTCAGTACTTTTTGCCCTTTGTACATGTAACCAAGGCAGTATTTCGAGCTTTTTGATATTTCCTCCAGCTGCTGAACATACTTTACAGCGAAATATGGAAGAAAATTCACGAAGAGGACTTAAAACAAACACGAAGGGATCGGCCTGTTTGCAAGAAAAAGCTTGGAAACTATAACAAATGTGAGTTTTCTAATTTCTTCCTGTTTCAATGGCCCAAAATGATTATTAGTGTTTTGGTTACATGGATGATAGTAGACTGCAATTTGGCTGTCAGAGTTGTTCTGTCGTTTTAGTTGTGCGCTGTAGATCAATTCAAAAATGCTCGATTTTTTGCTCGTTTGCAGACACTGAGTTTAGGTCAGATAAAATAAGAAAATTTTAGTCTTGTCCGTGGCTGCTTAACAAATCTTATGGTTTTAGAAAGTAGTTCTATGATGTGTTGTATCGCATACAAAAAAGAAACTTCGCTCGTTAAATTTTGAGGGTTCTGTGAGTTTCAGAAAATGGTGAAAATTTGCTTATAAAAATGGCGTCCAAGGGAGTCGAATAAAGTGATGCTCGTATCTCTAATACAAGAGCAGTGAAGAACCTATGTTTATTATATTTGTCCATTACTCCACCAGACCTATCTATGATGTTAGTATGAACTTATTCTGTTGACCCCCCTCCGTTGACATTTTTAACATTTTGCCCGGTTTTCTCTGACAACCACTCTTAATATACGCGCGAGTTACTAGAGTGCCTCCTCGGGATTTCGCCTTCTGGGCGAAATCCCTGCGGGGGTAACAAACCATCTGGGTGGAAATCTTGTGCATAAAAACGAGACTATAAAATTTGACATCTTGGGAGAACGACAGGCTACACGGCTGTTATTTCCTGAAGCTTCCCAAACGAAACGGTGCAAACCATTTGATTTTCCAACCGCAATTTCCATTTCTTCCATGTACGGTAAGGGTAAGAAGTATCCAGACTCGTTGAGACCCCGCGCGCGCCTCAACCTAATTCCCAATCTTCTCTCACCCCAAAAAACACTTAAATAGCGACTGGGTACGAGTCTGAGGAGTATAATTCCCAAACCCGTAAGCACTGGGGTCGAGAGTGGCGGCCGCCATTGATGAATGGCGTTGACAACGAATGCGCAAGTCTAGGGATTTATATCAAGCATGGGTTTTATCAGTCGCATTTCTTACCTGTGGATATTTCTTTGTTCAGCCTGTTTTATTTATGTATACTTTGTTATTAATTACGAACTGTTTGGATCTCGTCGGCGGGCGACCCATTATTTGAGGTAAGTACTAGATTTAACATTTTGTTATATCATACATCGAGAATACCGACCTTAAGTTTAGGTGGACCGCTACATTGGGGACGGTGACTTTGGCCGCGACAGGTTGGGAAGGGTCCTCGTCGACATGGCGAAAGAAACAAGCTTTAAGTTTCAGTGGAGGTGACGGTCAAAGACTTTTCTTAACTTTATTGAAGGTTTGAGAATGAGTTCCCTGAAAGAGAAAGAGCTTTTGGTCGACTTTTATAATTATGATGGTGTCATATCACATGAGAAATTCGTTCTCCTGTACGATGAAATCTAGTTGACCGCTTTGTTGCTTGAAGGTGATTGTTCGTCGCTCCACTGAGCGTATTGGCGATCTACGTATTGCCAAATTTTCGCACGCTTCACAGTTCTTACGGCTGGAATTCGAGCCTACACAGCTCCAGGCTTGAAGCGGTAGGGCTCAGTTACAAGAACTTCTTTAGCAAGCTGAATATCGTGATCTTCAGTCCACTCCATCTTCATTAAAATAAGAACAAATTATTCAATAGGATTGACAAGTTGCGCGCAAAAATAAACAAGTTCCTTCATCCTGCTTTATAAAGGGCTTTATTTTGTCGAATAAATGTTAAGCAATTAACACGTAATTTCATTTTGTCCTTCAACTTAAGCAGAAAAAATGAACTAAAAACTTCGTGAATGGAAAAAAGGGTAAAAGTCGATGTTCAGATGGTGAGAGAATACCTAAATGTGATTATTTTATCGCTGGGAATTCTAATCCTGCAGTTGTGCCACTTTCTGCTGTTATATTTTGATTATATCATAAAATATTGTTTAAGTAAGTAATTGAAAAAGGTTTACCATTTGAAGTAAACTAGACACTCTAGCAACAGATTAAAGCGGTATTCTGTTAAAATGAAGATGTTTTGAAGACGAAAACAGGAAGAAAAAGCTCACATTCTCGAGACACCGCCGCACTCAGCTTTTTCACCGTCGCGACGTGCAGACGACGTACAGTCGGGGGACATAAGTATTCGTCACCTTCAATATGGCGGCGTTTGTTTACATTTTGCGCTAGTTTTAACACCATTTGCGGCAAACCTAACTTTAAAATCACCTTAATATTTGGTGAGATGACCCTTCATTTCAATTACATGATTTAGGCGGTCAGGTATGGACTGGTAAAGGTTTCTTATATAATCCAATTCGATGTTCCGCCACACGCTCTGGATTTCAAGCAGGAGATCATTTTTGGTAGTGATATCTACCGCGGACTTTTGTAGCTCTCTCTTCTTGTAGAGACAGATATTTTCTATTATATTTAAATCTAGTGATTGTGCTGGCTATTCCATTGAGGTTACTTCGTTTTGATCGTTATAATTTTCTACAGTGTGGCCTCTCTGAACAGGCGCATTGTCATCCATGAACAAGTAGTCTTTTCCTTCAAAATACCAGACAACTACCGGCCATAAGTTCTTGTCTAGGATTTCAATGTACTTGGCAGAGTTGATGTTGCCTTCAACTGCAGTCAGAGTTCCAACACCATCATAACAAATACATCCCCAGATCATCAAACTTATCTTTCGTTCAGAGCGAGAACAGATAAGATGTGGGTTGTACTTTTCGTCGTCTTTTCGCCAAATGTCAACACGGTTGTTTGTACCGAGCACAATCTGACTTTCATCTGAAAATATTTCTTTTTTCCAGTAGTTGTCTACTGTCCGACCTCTTCGCTCTTTACACCACTTAACCCGCTTTTTTCGATTCGCTTCCCGAAGCACCATTTTCTTTTTCGCTCTTAAACCTTCTTTTATATCCTTCCGAATGCAACACCCTTTCCACGGTTTTCTGGCTGAAAGTATTTGTTTTGCACTCGTTTAGCGTTGCAGTAATGTCCTGTAAGGTAAGTCGTCTGTTACTTTTAACCAAACGCTTTAAAGCATTTCTGTCTCTATTTGTGAAGCTCCTTTTCCTGCCACTTCGCGTCAAAGTCTCCACTATGCCAATCCTTCGGTACTTGCTTAGAACGCTCGTGATAGTCGTTCTTGCAATGTTAAGGTGGCTCCGTAATTAATACAAGAGCATTTTGCTGTGACAAATTTTCGGTCATAACTTTTTGGTTTTTAACGCGATGGCTGCGAAACTTTACAAAAAGCAACAGATATCATTCGGCAATAATACGAAATATTCCGATTTCATTGATGGTAAATATTTCTTGAGAAATTAGCGCTTAAAAGAACCCTACTGTTCAAAGAAAATCGCGTCTAGTAAAAAAATTTGCTGATATTTTTTAGTGAAATTTCTGGTATCGGCTTTAATTGATACAATAAATATGCCAGAGGAATTTCAGAAAAATCGTTGAAGCAGAAGTCCGTAACTAAAAGTCGCTCAAAATTCAGCTCTGAAATTGTTTTGGAATTTCAAAAATAAATTACTATCAGGTAGAAGGAGCCACCAGTTTGAATTTTCGGGACAAGTAAATTCAACGTTTGCTAATTCTTAAAACAAAAGCCGATTGCCTATCGTGCTATTCTTTAAAAGGTACTTTTTAGTTTTAGAAGATTTATAAATTGCTCCCAAACTTGGTCTGAACTAGAATGACTTGTTCTTCGACAGTTTTAAAATATCCCTTGGCAGTTTTGGCTCAAACTCCCGCTGCATACATTTTGATGTATTGCAATGCATTTTCAACGACTTTTACTGCTGTTCGTTGCTTCCAACTCAGGAAAAAAGTATTGACATTGGACGCTACCTCGTATCAGAGCTCAGAAAGAACTGTCCAGCACCTTTGTTTATGACTACAAAATGAGCACGAGCGGCAGTTCTGCGAGGAATTCGCACCTCACCCAGGGGGGACGAACGACAGTGATGACCATGCCTGTAAACCGAATAACATCACAGTGCAAAATAAAATTATCCCTAAAATACTGCCCGTGAATAAATTTACAACTCGGAAATTTTTGTCACTCCTTCCTTCAATGAATGGGTATTTTTTTCTTGATTATTATGTTTTGGTCTGCAATACATGTTTATACGGATCGGTTCACATACATGGGCATCATTGTCATTCGTCCCCCCTGGCTGAGGTGCGAATTCCTCGCAGAGCTGCCGCTCGTGCTCATTTTCTGGTCATAAACAAAGGTGCTGGACAGTTCTATCTGAGCTTCGATACAAGGTAGCTTACAATCCCAATACCTTTTTCCCGAATTGGAAACAACGTACAGCAAGAAAAGCCGTTGAGGATGCATTGCAATACATCAAAATGTATGTAGCGGGAGTTTGAACCAAAACTGCCAAGGGATATTTTGAAATGTCGAGGAACAAGTCATTCGACGTCAGAGCAAAGTTTGGAGCAATTTATAGTGCTTCTAAAACTGAAAAGTACCTTTTAAAGAATAGCACGATAGGCAATCGGCTTCTGTTTTCAGAATTAGCAAACACTGAATTTACTTGTCCCGAAAATTGAAACTGGTGTCTCCTTCTTCCTGATAGTAATTTATTTTTAAAATTCCAAAACAATTTCAGAGCTGAATTTTGAGCGACTTTTAGTTACGGACTTCTGCTCCAACGATTTTTCTGAAATTCCTCTGTCATATTTATTATATCAATTAAAGCCGATACCAGAAATTTCAGTAAAAAATATCAGCAAAATTTTTTACTAGACGCGATTTCTTTGAACAGTAGGGTCCTTTTAAGCGCTAATTTCTCAAGAAATATTTACCAGCAATGAAATCGGAATATTTCGTATTATTGCCGAATGATATCTGTTGTTTTTTGCAAAGTTTCGCAGCCATCGCGTTGAAATCGAAAAAGTTATGACGGAAAATTTGTCACAGCTAAATGCTCTTGTATTAATTACGGCGCCACCTTAAACATTCTTGACAGTTCCGCTTTGTTTTGCACGGTGCGGTCCGGAAAAAAATCTTGTCGAGTCAAGATGACAGTTTTATTGTCTTTTGAAGAAAAAACAGATGACGCTCCAGCGTGCTCATAATCGGGACACTGTCCCTTTAATGTTGAATGACTGAATAAGCGAGGTGTCAAAACACAAACAGCTCTTATTTCTTTTCTTTCGGGAACTATGCAGTGTTTTTCGTGCTCTTGGTCGGATGTTTCTTTCTTTCTATTTTTGCTAATTTAATCCCGCCTTTATTGACCAAACGCGCGCCCTACATCAAGCTTTCCTGTTGACAGTGCGCACAACGGGGTTAAAATTTCGCGCGTCTTTTTTGGAAGTGACGAATACTTATGTCCCTTGACTGTAGGTTGGATGGCTGAGATGTATGCTAATTAGCCCCAAATCGGGCAACTTTTATTTCCGGTTGCTGTCCTCCACCTTACCGTCCACCCTAACTTAAGGTCCGTAATAGCTTATGTACGTCATATGGGAAGTTTGACTAGAACCAAGATTGTGCTTAGGGTCGGTCGCCTTTTCTCGCGTGGGGGTAATTTTCTCGCGCGCTCGCGTTTCGCTCGCTCTACTATCCCTGAGGAAAAATGGGGGACTACTCGTAGTCTATAGCGCGTGGGTCATATCGCGGGTACTCTGTTGGAGTTTCACGCGTCTCCTCAAGCAAGGGGAAAACAATACATGTATAACAATAATGCACTGTTGACATTCCTGAAAGGTCAATGTGACGCAGTGTTCGATTAGATCATTCGTTGCATGAATGATGCCCTACTAGTCAGTAAAAAAAACCACTTCTTATACTAACAAGACGCCTAAAGTCGTTTCCGTGGGATGCGTTGGTCTATGGAAGAATAATGGCGTTCTATCTGAATTTGGAAAAATTAGGGAAACCGGAAAGATGTGTCATGTTATGAGCATCGATGAGTAGGTTACCTGTATGGGTTGGTTTAATGTGCTTATGACTGAATTTATAGTAGCCTGCGTGGCAGGCTACTATTTCTCCCAAATCCACATCCCCTTTTTGCTTCATCCCTATCCCCTACCCCTTTCGACACCTGCTACGCAAGCTAAATTTATAGTTGTCAGTGAGTCGCAAGGATGGAGTTGATCTTGTTTTGATCTATCGCTATGTAGTTATTTTCATAGCACGATTTGGATAAGAAAAAGAAGTTATTTTGCATCAAAACAAGGTCACAAAGGCCATAAAATGTCACGGATGGAAGAGGGAGAGAATTGGAGTAAACTGGGTAGCTTGGGAGGGCGAGTTTCAACATTGACTCTAATATTGGAAGGTGAGATGTAGTTAATCGCCTTTTGGTTGGAGTAAATTTCAACCCAGTGCTCTTTTATTAAAAAGGATTTTCCGGGATTGAAATGGGGTTGGTATTGTTAAGGAAGGGTAGTCAATGTTTCATAGGTCCCGTGTTCACCCCATTTGACCCTCCAACATGTGTAATTATAGTAAAAGGCTGATAGGTGTGATAGTGAATAACTGAAGGCGAATATGCAGCTAACACATGCTTTCTTTAATGTGTAATAATAATTACTTGTGAAGTTTGTCTCCATATCTAACTCACCATTTTCAGTGAGAGCGCACAATATAGAATTTTCAAAAAATGAATCCAACGGCTCCCATCAGTTAAAATGACGGTAGGTCAAGTTTTCGTAGTGAAATGCTAGGGTATAAATAAGCCCGTTCGTAAACATTTTGCGGACGTGTTCTAGGCACACTGAACCAAAAATCAAAGGACTAAATCAAACTCAACTTCAGAGGAATTCCCTATATAGAACGACCCCAAAGGCTTACATGTCCAGTTTTTGTATGCGAGGTAAAGAGAACTCTGTGTCATGACTGGAATGTTTTGTTTGCGTGTTCTGTCGTTAGTCATGCAACATGTGAGTTAGGGTAGAAAAAAATGACGACCACTTTTGCGCCGATTGCTGTAAAAAATATAAGTGATTTAGGCATTCAGTTAGTGATTCGAATAGGTCTATTTGTTTTCCAGGCCTAATGTACTACTAATGTACACCATTCTTGGCTGGCCTGAGAAATTTCACATTTTCCATCCGCTCCGTATGTTTGGCAAAGCTCCTGATATACTCTGCAGTCATGCAAGATTTAATAAGAAACCAATAAACTGGCTTTTTCCACGAAAAACTAGCAAGTACGTCACAATTCTTAGAAACCCTGAAGACAACTACGAGTCTGTTTTCAACTTTGCTCAGCTGGGAAAATCGTTTGGTTTGGGAGCTGCGCCCGATTCCTTGGAAAAATTTCTAGATAAACCAATACAATCTTATAACCATTCTCGCAAGGATATGATGATGTATTTGGCACGAAATCCCATGATGTTTGATTTGGGATTTAGTTTTGAGTATTTCCAAAATCTCACAGCCGTTAAAGAGTACATTCAGTTCCTAGACAAGGAATTTGATCTTGTCATTAGGACATTTTGTACGTAAAGCTCAATGAGCGACAAGACAAGGAAAAAGCTACTCGTTTAAGTGCAAGAGTTAAAGAAAATATAAGGCGATGGAATAAAGCAGACGTTTTGTTATTCGATTATTTTAACGCAACGTTTTGGAGAAGAGTCAAGAAAGAAGGACCAAACTTTTATGAGGAACTGGGTACTTTTCGTCGGAGAAAACAAGAAATACAGCAATCATGCTTAATCAACGGTACTCGAATCCAAAGAGCTTATCATAACAAATTTGTAAAGGGCTATACAGTTAGAAAGGATCTTGATGAAAATTCAAAGCGCCTCTGTGAAAACTTAGTCAGAACGGAGAACGATTTCCTCGCATCTCTGAGGAGAAAACGTATGGCGAAACTAAGGGAAACTGGGATTGACAAGCATGACAAAATTAAAAGCGAAACTGGATGGCAAGTGGCAAAGGATTTGCGATATGTTCCTGTTCCTGCACTGCCTTCAGTAGAGGAATAGAAATCTGTGAAAATAAGAAAGACAGAGCGGTATATGTTTTGTATCAGCACCTACTAGCAGTTGATTGAAGTATATTGTGATGAATCATTGACAGGAACGTAGCTGTAACACAATTCTTTTCTCTACTGACGTTTCATAAACTAATGTCTATCAGCTAATCATCGTAGCGAAAAAACTGTTGGCTCCAAGTTTCAAACGCGATCATTAAGCTAATCCTTGTTTACAACACTTAACTATTTATTTTCACAAAGAAGAAAAGAAAACTAGTAAAACAACGCTACAGCCACACTTGCAAAAATAGTTCAGACACTGTACCTTTGCGCGACTGACCTGTTTATGATCTTGTGCTTGTGATCCCCCTTCCACCCCGCGCGTATCAAAGTTGCCAGCAATACAAGTCCATGGAGGAACAAATTTAATGACTTTCAGTTTTTTTTTCTGATGAAGACAAATAGATCGTGTTCCATCTGTTAAGTGTCTAGGGGTAGTAGTGGATGATATGGAAATGGAAGATGCATATCAATAGCATCTTACAAAAGCGAGGGCATCGACTTTCAGTGTTCAACCGGATTTATCACCTCAGTGCTGGACGAGAGAAGTTTAATGGTATACTTTGATGGCCTTGTCCTACCACACCTGGATTATGCAGATGTGTTCTGGGGAGATCAGCCAGGTTTTACAACACAGATGAAACAGTTGCAGTCTTTTCAAAATGGCTTTGCAAAGAAGATTGTAAAGGCAATGTGACATCAACTGAGGTTTCATCGCTTTGACCCGCTTAATTTCTATGTCCAGCTTTATGAGAACTTTCCCGGTATTCCTTTTCTGCTTCTTCTGCTCCTTTTTTTTACCACGCAACCCGTTAGATCTGTACATCACAAAGCGGATGGTGCATGGTACTCAAGTTCTTCTCATTTTCGCACTTCCTGAGATAAAATGGCATGTGGGACTTAATCTTGACAAAAACACCACAAGGGTACATACGGGTAACCGTATACGAGTAGCACACGGGTACATACAGGTACATATGAATACATAGAGTAACAACATACGGGATTTTGATTTTGATCTTGATTGTTATGTCATTTACACAAAAGGCACCGATAAAAGCAAAGCTGTGATTGAAGCAGTCACTGTACCGTAAACATGGCGCGAACACCTTCCAAAAAATGGGAGCTGAATTCTAATTGGCTAACCGCGCGTAAGGAATGTGGTTCGATTGTGGGGAGGCACGTTGCGTGACGACACTAAAAACGGCTGTGTAGCAGACTAGCTGCAGTTGGGATCAATTAGTATGTCGTCAAATTCCTTTTCTGAGGAAAGTGATAAAAATGTTCATCCTTTACCGTATGCCGAAGTCATTGTAGCAAGACCCGAAAATTCCCCACGAATAGAACTGTTTTTAAAGCAGTAGAACACTGAGTTTCCCGCAGAATTTTCAGTCGTCTCCCGATAAATAAAAGGGAACTTAAGTACCACGTCTAAGTTCACGACGACGACGACGTCTGTTGATTGGGAAAAGACTGGAACGAGAACGTCGGTTTCGGCGGGAAAAAGGAAACTTTTATGCAGTCTGTCGGTAGGTCGAAGACGACGTCACTGGATGTAAACACAGATGTAAAACTGTGATGTTCGTTCGCAAAAAAGTTTTTCGCAACGGCGTCTTTTAAAACAATGCAAGATCTTATTTTTAAAGTCGTACATCTAATTTCAATTTTTTGTGTTGTCTGACCTTTTCGAGTGGAAAAACACCTGCTTTCCCTACGAAGATTATTCAACTTTCAACCTGAATGAGCTGACCGAGTACGAGTGTCTGTCAGAGTTGAGATTTGGAAAAAGAGACATTCTGATGCGATAGCGGTTTTCCATATAAAGTTTACTTCCTTTATATTAAAGATATATGATTTACCTCACCTAAACACGTTCAAATAAATTTATCACTTACGAGTTCGCTCGCTCGGCCTCCAGAGCTGTTGTCATTCTTCGAAGCAAAATCAATTCATTAGTCGAATTTTCAATCAACATCGCTTGTTAGGAGAAAAAAGGAACGATACCTGGATTTACGAGGATACCGTATTTATTCGAATAAGCGCCCAACCTCGAATTAGCGCCCACCTCGAATAAGCGCCCATCCTAAAGGCAGAAAAAGTTAATAAGCGCCCAGCCTCGAAAAAGCGCCCACCCCACCCCACTCCCTCCCACAAAAACTCCAATAAGATATAATAAAAGACCCTCCCGAAGACGGAGTTTACTTCAGGGTAGTATTGTACAGAAACCTTGCTTTGTTACATCTTCGCTTTTTGTTACTAGCATCTACTGTTTTGTTGCAAAATATACTACTACAGTTGCTGAGAATGGTGAAAATTTAATAAGCGCCCAGCCTCGAATAAGCGCCCACAAGGTCCAAAAATTTTATAAGCGCCCAGGGCGGTTAATCGAACTTCAAAAATCGCTTAAAACAGTGGATTTATACCTGCCGAAGCTTGTGGATTGCAGGACGACGTGATTCTACTTTATTTGGCGTCGTCGACGACACCACGACGATAACCACGACGATTCAAAAACCACGACAACGGAATTTACTGGTCGCGCTTGCGCAGTACACTGTAACTCACTTCCGGTCGTCGTTGACAAAGTCGTCGTCGTGGTTCTTAAGTTCCCTAAACTCGAGCCCTCGCTAACACCGCGGCAAAACGTTTATGCATGCGCCAGGTTGAGCATTTCCGGTCTCTTTTTTAGTCACACTTTCCAGTCAGATCAAAGTCTTCCGCGCGGTCTCGACTTCATTCTGTGTGCAGCGTGTGGTTCAGTTGTTTTGCTTCATGCTGCTCGTGTTTTTGACTATTTTGTAGTTATTGAAATTGCTTTTATGGATAACCAGGCACAGATCACTGAAACAATTAGTCGATTAGATTCAGAAAAGGTAAGATGATGATAACTCAGTGTGTAATTTTGGCTAGAGCGTCAGGTAAACTGATTTTTATTCACGAAAACAAAGGTTTTGACTGGTATTTTTCACTTACATGTAACCTGGCTGAAACTGAGACATAAAAAGTTATCATTGCAAGCTTGTACACTGTAGTTCTAATTTTCAGTTCTTCAGTTTCTCAGTCTTCATGTCTTAAGGCCGATTCGAGCTTTATTTGGACAACGAAAACACACAATCGCTTTGTAGTTTTATTTACCAGTGAGTTTTACCGTGTTTTGAAACGAAACTCTTCTGATTGCCATGAAACATAACCCTAATTATACTGTTGAGGTTGGCAGGAAGTTGACAACTCTATTAATTTCTTTCATTCTCAGAATCAGAGAGCAAAAGCTGGTTCAATGGCTTTTAGATGCCATGTGTTTAGCAGCTGGAAGTCTCGTGTTTGCATGAGATGCAGCCCAGCCGCACAGTCTGAAATTATTGAAGTCTTCAACCAAAGAACAACCATGAAAAAGAATTAAATAGGCATTTTCTTGAATGAAAGTCATTTATAGGCATGTTTAGTTTCCCGGTACTGAAAACTGCGGGTGTTCGTGACAGCACTCATCAAAGTCGAGGTTGTTATTATTATAAATTCCGCCCATCTTTTGTTTTGAGTTCTTGTTTTCTCTGATAATAAAAAAAGTATTCAATGGAGTAAAATTTTATTTCCTGGTTTTAGTGTTAATGATAATGATGACGTCTTTATTTTGGTTTCTTTCATAAGTATTGTTATTCTTTTCTTTTTTTTTAAAAAAAAAAAGATTTAATGTATCAGTTGAGTTTATTTCTTTGCAACAAAACTAACTTAGTTATCGCCTTCTCCCAAATTAACTTATGCCAAACCAGTAGCATGCAAGAAAGTCAGTAAAACAAATTCGTCTTGTCAAGCGCTGGCGACCTGCAAACTTCTACATCATTTTCACCGTTGGTGCAAACAGATAACTTAATATTTATTTTTTTTACAGATTCACTCCACTACATTACAAGCAAATAATGAAATGAAATAAGCTAACGTTACTATAAGAAAAAAAAAAAAGTTGTGGAGAAGGAGACAACTAAAAGCGCCAATGCCCCATACTAGGGATGTCCCCACTAATTAAAATATAACAAAAATATATACAAATAGAAATATAAATGTTCTAGTTATCCTTAATAAAGCTTAAAACATTTCTTTTAAAAGTTGCAATACTGTTTGATTCTCTAATATGATTGGGTAAACCATTCCATTCATCTACAACACGGTTAAAAAAAACTATATTTAAAACCGTCAGTTCTACTAAAATTTGGAATAAGGTCCTGTGTGTCATTTTTTCTCAAGTTATAACCTGTACTTTTGTCCTTACAAAATATGAGCTTATTTGAAAAGTCAATATCATAATGCCCATTAATTACATTAAAAAATGTAACATCTCTAGTGAACCTCCTATTAGATAATGACAACAATTTTAGCTTAGATAGTCTAGTATCATAATCATCATCAGACCTAGTGATCCATCTGGTAGCTCTTCGCTGAACAGCCTCCAATTTATCAATGTTACGTTTAGTAT